TTGCCAGAGCGCGGGCGGTGCGGTTTGCGCGCGGCGAGGCCCCTCCCTCGACCCCCCCCCCCTCTCCTCTCGTGCGGGCGAAAAGGCCTCGCGATGGCGTCGTTTCGTCGTGGAGGGGGCGATCCGCTCGAGCCTGAGGTCGCGAGGCTGCCAGCCTGAGGCGCGGGATCGGCCGCCGGCTCGGACCTAGGGACCTCAGACATGAGAAGAGCTATTGGAAAGGATCACTACACACGCTGTAAAACTTTTTGCTTTCAGGGATACTCAAATCAAGGGAATGGATGTGAAGGGTGGCACATTTTTGGGGGGGTTTCTTTGAAATACTCTGGACCATTAATCACACATCTATGTGATTAATTATTTTTAAGCAAGTTAAAAGATATGATAGAAACTTATGTCCATCAGTTTATGCATCGAAACACTTCCAAAAAAAAGACTCCATCACCCAAAGCACGAGTAATTCGATAACCTCTGGACAATATTATATAGCAAGCATCTCCACGCTTAACCTCTACCCGCAATGCTAATTGCTGTCTTAGTTATGATAACCTTAAGCAGTCTCGCTTCTTTGTTTTCACACCCCTCTACTACCTTTATCTATAACTATGCTATCCAACCCGCATTTGGTGCGGTGAAAAAGTCTACACTACCCCTTTTCCATGCAATCGAGTCGTTACTTTGAAACATTTGGAATCGAAGACAACACCGCGGTATCGGGACTTTGGAATTCGCATGCAGCGCCTGTAGAGATGGATAGATGCTCAGCAATCTTTTCTACGGCTTGCTGGCGATCCTCCCTGCTTTCATCGGTTCCCGATTCCGGCTTTCGGATGCGGAAGCCGTAGATTCGCGGGATGTATTTCTGTGTTGGCTTGGTGAACTCCAGGCCATTCTCGCGCATATTCATCAGAAGCAGGTGAGCGAACGTGGTACCCCAGAAGGCACCATCGAGCGTTTTATGCCGACTCGATCGAGGATAGTAAATATCTTGGCATTTGGGACAAAAGAGCTTCACGGAGCTTTCACGCACGATATCGCTTTGCCCGACGGGTAGGACCTGCTGGCCGCCGCAAAAGACCCGTGGGCAGACACCGAATTCTCTCTGAATGAACTTTTCTTCCATCAACTTTAATCCCTTATTGGTGGTAATGAAACGGGCATGGATGAGCCCATATAAAGTTTCCGCGGAGCTTTCTACCAGTCGTCTCTGCTCCTCCGCCAACTCCGTATTGCTCAGCATCTCCATATCCAAAATAATATCCAAGGCGTAATGATAAAAGGACACCATGGTTGCCAGACCCGTCAGATTGAATTCATCCGTTATGAATTCTCGATCAACGACGCAGAAAAACTCGTTTCCCTTGAGTTCACAAAACCAAGTAATCCATGAGGAATATTCCTCATCTGCTTCTATGTCATACGCTCCAATGTCTACCGAAAGCTCATCCATTTACTTTAAGGTTGCAAAAGAAAATTTAAACGCAAAATGGAGCCTTCTTCTTATGAAATCAGGATGATCACACACTAATAAATCTCTCAACTTAACTCAAAGGTAAGAAGAGTAACACGCCCAAAAATGAATGATAAAGGAGGGAGTTAATATGCGGATACCTTATGTGAGGAAAAGATTAATTTTTTTAAAATGTTTGCTAGATGGTTTAATACGAAAAAAAAACTTCAGCGATGCTTCTTTTCACAAGACATCTAAGCCTCAAATATATATTTTTTAAAAGGATAAAAAGTACCGAAGAGATATAATGTAAATGATGATTTTCACACCCATTCACATACGCGAATCATAAGAGCATAGTGTCCACGAGAGATAGAAGCCCTCCATGAGTTAACTGTTTATATGGATATAGATAATATGTACACCGAAACTTTATTTTCTGCGGTATAACTCAGCGAAATCCGATGATATCTAGAGTTGTTTAAATTGGTTACTTTCTATTATCATCAAATCCTTATTAGAGGTTAATAAGAAGAATTTTATTCATGAGAATAGATCATGAGTCCAATTCTCCAATATTGTAATAACACCCAAAAGCTAATTCGTACCATTGAAGGGCTTAATCGACTAAATTTTTTCTCTATACTCAAGTCATAAAACGGGGGAAAAAAGGACTAAGACAAATGTACGCCACACAATTAAAAAAGAAAAATTACAAAAGACTGACAGATTATTCATACAATCCAAGACTTCCATGTAAGGGGAAAGTGATAAACCTAACATTACTATAGAGCATGCTTTTGGTATCAAAAGCGGACGAAACGTGAGACATGAATATTCTCAACAAAAAAACATGGGTCTGTCATACGTACAAAATTATTTTTTAAAAAAAATTCATACGAACGCACCTACTTTTGTATCTACTCAATGGTGCTTGCTACTACGTATTTTTGACATAACAAGGAGAAAAAAAAAGAAACTGACAAACAACCCACTCCGTTAGTATCTTTTTTCTTAACGATCCTCATCGGACCTCTCTCCCATTCCTTTTTACACACCCCGCACCAACCACACATGAGGAGGAGGAGGAGAATGGGGGAGGAGAGCATTACCATGAAAGAAGCACTAGGGGCCCCCCTTTTTCTTCCCTTTTCATTCGCTTCGCCTCTCCTAGACTCACGGAAACCCATTCCGTTGGGAAGGCACACACGCGCGAGCCACATCCCTTCCACTCTCTTCCTTTTTTCCTCTATTCACACTCCCTCACGCACGCACGCACGCACGTGCAGGTCTACGCGGACGACCGTCGTTTGTTGTTCATCCAATTCACCAACCCCACGCCGTAGGGCGTCTGCTGCAGCTCCGTGCGGTGCGCGGAGAGCCACGTGAGGAATTGCCCCTCCAGCACCCCGGCCTCCTGCCGCTCGCCGTCGCTGATCGTCGCGGCGTCGGCCGCCGTGAAGGCCGTGAGCTGCTCGCAAATATGCCGCACGACGTAATTCCCGAACTGATGCGAGGCGACCTGCACCATCAGCATCTCCCCCCGCTCCAGCAACGACTTCGCGAGGCGGAGGATGATCTGGCGGCCCTCCGCCACGTTCGCCGACGCGATAATCGCCCGCTCGACGCAGTTCGACGCGAATTTCTGCATGCTCATGCTGAAGATATTCGCGACGATGGCGTCGAAGGCGATCCGGAGGGTGTTCTCCACCTCCGACCCCGGCACCGCGCGCGGGGCGAGCTCCAAGAAGAAGGTCTGCGCGACGTAATTGCCGTAGTTGTGCACCACCAACTCCTTCACGCGATTCGCCAGCTCCTTGAGAAGTTGGGAGCACTGCGCGACGAAGGCGTCGTGGGAAGGGGACCCGACCGGGCGCTTTTCCGCCGCGAGGATCGCATCGGCGAAGTGGGGGATCATCACCTGGACGGTCCGGCACGCGACGATGTGCTCCGCGAGAAGCTGCACGCGCGTGAGCGGGGCGGGCGTCGCGGCCTCCTCGGCGGGATCCCGCGCCGCATTTGGGTGGGGATGGGGGTGAGGGTGAGGGTGGAGCCCGGAGAGGAGATACTGCCCGGAGGAAAAAGACGACGCCACGGCGTAGAAAAACCGCCAATCCAGCGGCGGCTCCGGGACGTGGTACTCCGCCAGACTCGCGGGCGCGTGCGAGGCGTGGGGGTCGGGCTTGCCGTCCTCCTCCGTGCGGGGTTGCGGATGGTGCGGGAACGGCGCGGCCGGAGGGGGGGCGGCGTCGTCGGGTTCCCGGCCCTCCCGCCCCCGTTTCACCCCGCGCGAGCCCGGCGGCGCGTTGCGATCGCGTCGGTTGAGCGCGACCTCGAAGGTTCGGTATTTCGGCCGCAGCGCGCGGATCAAACTCGCCACCATGCAGCTGCCCCCGTTCCCGCTCACCACCGTGATGCCGTAGCGCGCGAAGCAGCCGCAGAGGACGTCGACCTCGCTATCCTCGCGGGGAATCGCCGGCGTCGTGGGGGACTCCTCGCCAGCGTCGTCCTCCGCCAGGCGTAAGCCAAAGCTTTGGAAGACAAAACGCGAGGTCAGAATGCCGGCAAAGAACGACTTGAAGAGCTCCTCCGCGCCGGAAGGGGAGTCCGCGGAGGAGGCCTGTTGCATGTACTCGAAAAACGCGCGGCGCTTACTCCGTTGCGCAAGAACTATTTTGAGCAGTGCACATCCCTGGGGAGAGGCCAAGAGGGCGATCTTCGGGCCCTTCTCCTGCACCACCGCGGTGCTGGGGGCGCTAGTTGGATTTGCTGGATTCACCGAACCCTCAGCGGTTTCCTCCGCCGTCTGGCTAGTCGCTTGCTCCTCCTGGGTATCATTCTCGCCCTCGTTGGGGGCTTTGGGGGCCCCCGCGCTGCCAGCCACCGAGGAGCACGCCTCCTGCACGAGGCGGATGAAAAAGTTCGTGGAGAACTCCGAGTCCTCCCGGATGACGTCGGCGACGGCGTCGAAGATCGGACGGTTGACCATCATTTCCTGGATCACCTCCCCGAGGTCGGCCGTGCGGACATCCGCGATCTTCGTCGGCTGGGCGGGCTTGTCAAACGGGAGGAGGTGCGTGAGGATCGTGCTGAGTTGCAGGAAGAGATGCCGAGGGACGGTCGCGCCGTTCTCCAGATCCACAAACCGCCCCCCATCCTCGCTCAGGACGGAGCGGATATCACTGAAGGCCCTCACCGTCTCGGGCGCCAGGAAGACGTCCTCCGGCGCCCGCGGCAGCACCACCCGCGCCGCGAGATACCGCCGCTCGACCACCACTAAGAACCGCACCGGCTGGCCGCGGAGTTGCTGATTCATGCGGAAGATGACGTTTTGCGGGACGATCCCGTCCAGCGCGCCGCGTCGGCCGAGCTCCTCCAACTTCTCGAAGGAATCGAGGTGGACGACGAA